AGTTTGGAGTTCAGGAGATTGTCTTGACCAGGACCACACCCCTAAATGCATTGAAGCAACTGCCATGTGTTTGGTTGATTAGATAATTGCATTAATGAGAAATTGAACAGGTGTTCCTAATAATCCTTTAGGTGAGTGTATGTCAGAGGTCACACGCCTCTGGAACATAGGGGTTAAGTGTCTTCATCAGGGACACAATGGTGGATGGATCACAGTGGGGGATTGAACCTGGGTCTCTCACACCAAAAGCATGTGTCTTATCCATTACGCCATCACCATATACAGATATTACAATAAATATCAAACCATTATTTCTTTTGTGTTTAAGGGCTGATTTTTTTTCTCCTGAGTGAAAGTTGAAGAAACCTGATGGTCAATTGTGTTTTTTTTTATGGTCAACAGTTGATGCCAAACAGTGAATCACTTCACAAATCTGAGGTAGAACATTCAAAACAATTATGATAAAATCTTTGTCAACAAACATGCACGAGTAAAAGCTTTTTTCGATCCTTTTACCGCAACAAAATAAATATCTTAATAAAAATCCTTATCCGTGTATTATTCAAGTGAATAAATTCAAACATTAATTGAATATTTATTGAACATTTGTTATTGAAAAAAATTATATTGCAATAATTATTGTTATTGTTTTATTGTCCAGCCGTAGGATAGACTGACTATAACCATTTTATGCAATGTGCGGTTTGATCAAACCGCGGCTAAAAAGAGTTAATCTGACATTAGTGGGTTTCCTGTTTCTCTCCTTAAATCAAATATATCCCAATCACCCTTTGAAAAACAAGACTATGGCTACGTCCCAAGTCTATGCTAATTCTATACACCATCTACACTTGATAGTATACTGTTTTAGCAGATACTATACAAAACACACTTTACCATTTTATACTAACAGGAAATAACTACCATTTTATACTGACAGGAAATAATAGTACATTTGACGCTGGATGTAAATCATACTACAAAATGATCAAATGTCAGTTTCTCTTGTTGATCCAAATGTGTCCCACTACATAATTACCCTTAAAAAAACAAACAAGACTAAGGCTTTGTCTGAAGTCCATGCTAATTCTATACACCATCTACACTTGATAGTATACTGTTTTAGCAGTTAGAATACAAAAATATCAACACACTTTATTTTATACTAACAGGAAATAACAGTATACTGTGTGTATGTGATATGTCTGATGTAAATCATACAACAAATAAGGAAAGCTATCTACTGTAACTTCACATAGAAAAAAACAACAATCTGAGGAAAAATTGTTATTTTTTTTTTGGAGCTGTCTGACCACAGTTATGTCATGACAGGAAACACTGGTGGAAACGAGGTAGAGAAGTTTGTTGTGTACATAGAGGAAGTGTAGCAAAATGTTTTTTCCTAACATTGTGGTACTACTCACACAGGTATGACATGTTTCACATTAATATACATTATGTTCATAAAGATTTTCTTCTCTATTGTCAAAATACCTTTTACTATCACTATGCTCATTGTTCCTAATTGATTTTCGCTGAGTAATTTCTTAATATACATGCATGTATTGTTGTTTTATTTGCCTTATATGTTCAGATTCAAAACTTAAGAATCTCCAGCCTAAGGTGTGAGATTTTTACTGTATAACTATGGGATTCAAACCTTAGTACTAGTAGCTTAGTGCTCTAACAAACAGAGCCACAAAGGTCCACTGCAACAATTACAGTATGTACAATACAACACAAAATACACTACATAATTAACATACATAAATTATTACTTTTGGTTTAGTATTTGTCACATATGATTAGACAAAACCAGTATGTTGTAATACTGTAAAAAACAGTAAAAGTTTGTTTCTCGCATCTGTGATTGTAGAGGATGTCTTCACGTATCACAACTTGATTACATATAGGATAGATATTATGGAAATGATAGATTCTGTAAATGTTTGGAAATGTAAGTGTATTGCCTAATGTGAAAACTGTGTAGGCCTAATCTGTCTTTTACAGTACTATATTATACTACGTTCTGCACTTCTATGGTGATTTGAAACATGTATCTTGCATTGTTTGGTATTGGATTCACTGGTAGTTAAAAGTACTAAACTGAAAAGATATCATTATGTTGTGTATTAGTGATTAAACCATATGTTATCATAATGAATAAAATTAAAAAAAATAAATAAAACAGTAAGCGTGTGTGTGTGTGTGTGTGTGTGTGTGTTAAAAAATAAAAATATATTAAAAATTTAAATAAACTAAATAAATGAAACAGTAATGTGTGTGTGTTATAATATATAAAAAATTAAATAAAATAAATAGATAAAACAGTAACGTGTGTGTGTTATTATAATATATAAAAAAATTTAATAAACTAAATAAATGAAACAATAACGTAAGTGTGTATATATTATAGACAAAAAAAATAAAATTTATTAATAAAAATAAATGAAAATGAAAAAACAACTATAAAAATCTGTGTTAAATGTGAAATTTAAAAACAAACCAATTACTAAAATATCAAACAATCAAAATAATAATAATTTGAAAATTAGAGTTTCCACTGGTTGTCCTCAGTTCGTGGCATGAGGAGATATATTTGGGCATTTCTCCCAGTAAATAGAGGAGTTTCTGTGTGTCTGATATAAATTCGAATTCAGGGTATATTTGGGAAATGTTTGTCTCAGTGTTTTATGTTTAGAGCATGAAGTTATAAAGTGCAGCTCTGTCTCTACCTGTCCTGTGTCACACTGGGAGCAGAGTCTCTCCTCTTGTGGTAGCCAGCTCTGTCTGTGACGACAATTTTCTATGGCCAGGCTGTGTTCATTCAGTCTGTATGTTGTCAACATTTTTCTTAGGACATTTTATTGTGCTCAGGTAATTTGCCAGTGTGAATTCTCTTTTTAGGGTCAGATAACATTGTAATTTACTTTATGTTTTAATAATAATAATAAATTGAACGAACTCAAAGTCACTTTACAGAGCAGAAAAAGAAACATGACCAAAAAAATAAATAAATAAACAGTTTGGGTCGTTTCTTTCCAGTATTCAATATATTTTTCTTTTTGCTTGTTGATAATTTGGTTTGGTCTGCTTGAGTTGGTGTTGCTGTCCTGAGGTTGTTGGGGACTTGTTACTGCAGAGAGCCTCAGGACCAGCTAGCTGAAGGGACTCTTCTCTTGTTTCAGCTCCTGGTATGTTAGGGCTTTGTGATGGTATGTCTGGGGGTTAACTGATTTTAAGTGATTGTAAAATGTAATTGATCTTTTCTATACTTTTAGTGAGACGGGGTATTGGCCTTCTCTGCACCTGCAGGATGCTCTTACAGAACTCCGTATGGAAAGATTCTATGATTGTTTTGTCCCATTTGTCAAATTCATTATTAAATTTTGGCCCTCAAATTTCACCACCATATAGAATTATTGGTACAGATTGGAAAATTTTAAGCCAGATTTCCTTGCTTTGTCCCTCAGATCTTTCACATCCATGTTGAGGTTTGCTGTGTATGTAATGTTGAGGCCAAAGTAAGTGTAGTTTTTTGTATGTTGTAATTTAGTGGTGTCTAAATAGAAATTGTGTGTAACCTGATTGATTATCATTATCTTAGTCTTTGCTGTGTTTACTGTCAGGGCTGAGGTCTGACAGAATCTCTGCAGGAGGTTAAGGTGCTGCTGCAAACCTTCTTTAGTAGGTGAAAGCAACACTAAGTCATCTGCATACAGCAGACCTCTGATCTCTTTGTCGTTCAGGGTGAGGCCAGGTGCTGTGGAACGCTGTAGTTGGTTCGCTAATTCATTGATATATAGACTGAAGAGAATTGGACTGAGATTGCATCCCTGCCTCACTCCCCGGCCCTGGGAGAAGAACTGTTTGTTGCTGTTTGTTTGTTTCCAATTTTTATGGCACATTCACTTTGTATACATGTTCGTAATCAAATCAAATGTTTTTCCTCCAATGCCACTTTCAAGTAGCCTATAGAAAAGGCCCTTGTGCCAGATGGAATCAAAGGCGTTTTGGAAGTCAACAAAACAGGCATATACCTTCTTTTATTAATGATTCATTCTTGATCTATTAATATCTGGAGGGTATGGTCCGTTGTGCTGCAATCTGACAAAAAAACAATTTGGCATTTATGCAGAATATTGTGGTCATCAAGAAAGTTGACAAGTCGTTTATTAATGATGTTGCAGAATATTTTTCCCAGGTTACTGGATACACATATTCCTCTGTAGTTATTTGGATCATATTTATCTCCGGATTTATAAATTGGGGTTATTAAACCTTTGTTCCAGATGTCTGGAAAAGTTCCAGTTGATAGAATAATATTGAATAGTTTCAGTATAGCCAATCTGATTTTATGGTCTGAGTATATGATCATTTCGTTGATTCCATCAATACCACAAGCCTTTTTTCTTTCAGGGACTGGATGGCTTCTGTTAATTCTTGTTCTGTTACAGGGTAATCTAGAGGGTTTTGGTTGTTTTTTTACCACTGCCTCCAGAATATTGAAGTCACTTGTAGGGATCCTTTCCACGATGTTGTTAGACAGAAGCAGTTTTTGTGAATGTAATGCTGATCGGCACAATTGCCCCAAAAGAATATGTTGGAGCCACTGCTGCCGGTTCACAGCTGCCAGCTGAAGCTATCAACTCCACAGATTCCAAAACTAGTCATTTCGACATCAAAATATGTGAAAATAGGGCCCATGTTTAAAAATAATTATCCTTTAAGTGAGAGCTCTGACATGCTAGTGGTGCTACAGGAAAAGTCAGATGATCACAAAATCATTGATTCATCCACTGGGCATCAATGTCTGTACAAAATTTCATGTCAATCCACCAAATAGTTGTTGAGATATTTCAGTGATGGGCCGACTGCTCAAACAACATTGCCATGCCCAGAGTTCTGCAGCAGGCATTGTCAAAAAAAGCAAATCATTTAGAATTTCTATAGGTTTTTATAATGAGCTCAGCATTGGCTTCCCATGTGCTAGTTCTTTTTTTGCAGGTTTACTTTTAGAAATTTGACAGACAATTTTAAGGATAGTTTTTTATCTAGTTTAACAGAAGGCATTTCAATCTGCAAACTATTCAGGACAACTAAATAAAGAAGAAGCAAAAAGTCAAGTGTGGCCAAACAAGTGTGGTTACCTTAGTTTACATCATTGGCTCTTCATGCAATGAAAGGCTAGTACAAACCTCAAACGATTTAAAAGGAAATCAACACAGTGACAGTTCTTGCACACTTTCTTGTAACCTGCACTCCTAATACTTTGAGCTGACAACGATGAATCCTATAGTTCACCCAGCAGAGGCTGTTCCATTACAGGGAAGGTATGATGGGCAGTTTGGGCAGTTTGGACAGCTTGGACAGCCTGGAGGACCTACATTGGTTCAGTACACCACTGTGAACATGACCACTGAGTCCCCCAAGGACCACATCATCTGGTCCCTCTGCTGCTTTTTGTACTTAAACCCCTTCTGCCTCGGACTGGCGGCTCTCATCTTTTCTATCAAGGTGAATTCATGTGCGACAGTTCTTAATATTCAATCTTCTGTTATTGACTATTAAGCAATATAAGTTCTTACAAAGGCCAGATAGGGTTAGAGGAAAAAGGATTTGCCAAATTCTTTTTAGGAAGAAAGTGATAAGTAAGACACAGTCCTCACTGAGACATTTTAATAAAACACTAAAATACAAAAAATAACAGGAATAAAATTTGATGAAAACACAAAGACAGCAGATATTTTAAATGTGTTAGAAACTCTGCTAGACATTCTTGACGATGAAGAATCATAGGTCAGAGAACAATAATGCCAAATAAACAACAACCCAACTATAAGTATATAAATGTAATTAAATTTAATAAATTAATAAAAAGAAGACAGAGATCACATTTGCAGCCTGAAATACAATAATCTAAAGATTTTGCAGGAGATTATGAGATTGAGCCTATGATCAACAGTTCAAGTTCCCTCGAGCATAACGATGAATCCACTTTTAAAATCAGTGTGCTTTGGTCCTTTACAGGCCAGGGACCGGAAGGTGGTTGGAGATCTGGATGGTGCCCAATACTATGGCTCAACTGCCCGCTGTCTCAACATCTGGGCCACAATCCTGGGTGCCATCATAATGCTTATTTCCATTATTACAATGACTGTCATTGCCGTAAAGATACATCAGATGTTCAGTTCAAACAGCCCTTACAATCCCAGTTACAATGACAATTACAGAGGCTAAATTTCAATAGTGTTCAATGAGTGGCCTGCTGCTGTGGCTTGGTGGTACTTGTATTTTTCTACTTTGTGCTCATGGCACAATTTGTCACTTTTTATACCTTTTTAGTAATATCCTCAATTGAAACAGATTCGCACTTGGATAGAAACGTAGGCCTATCTCACCAGATTTAATGATGTCAATAGTCACATCAGATTGGTCACTTTGTCTGCTTACTACCATCTAAAATATATTTCTGTAATCAGAGGAGCACTGTTCAAGCAAGACTTAGATAAGCTTACACACAACTTTATTTCCAGTAGATTGGATTACTGCAATGGTCTGTTCACAGGGCTTTCAAAAGAGGCTCTTCAGCAACTCCAACATATTCAGAACGCCGCTGCCAGGGTCCTCATAGAAACTACAAAATACGAACACATTACATGTTCAAAATATAGTGAAGCAGCATTCTGTGTACATGGAACACAGTCCTGGAATAACCTACCAGTTGATATTTGACAAGCCCCGACTGTGAATGCAAAGTAAATACAGAAACTATTACTTTACACTGCCTACTCCACCAAGTAAAAACTTTATATCTTAGCTTAACAGCCTTAATTGTTCTTAATTTAATTAAATGGTGGTTCAAAATGGGGGGGTATTTTTTGTGTTATATTTATCTTTTATTTTTACTTGATTTAAAAATGCACTAGAATCTTTTACCTTTGCTGTATTTTTGTAACCTTTAAAACACATTGAATTGCTCTGGTGTATGAAATGTCCATCTATCCATCCATCCATTGTCAACCGCTTATCCTGCGTACAGGGTCACAGGGGGTGTATGAAATGCTAAACAAATAAAGTTGCCTTGTCTTTTGATGGACAGAATGTGTCAACTCTTCAGGACATTTTTTAAGAAAGAAAAAGTCATGTACTGTATGTAATTTGCCAAAACAACAGCCAACACAAGTGTGTTGTTTTTGCTTTTACCACATTGGCTTTCAGTGGAAAAAACAGGTATGTGCTAACTACAAAAAAACTTCACAAGGAAATTAACACTTACAATTACACTCAGGCAACTTCCTGACTCCAAACCACAGTTGAACTGACAGCAATGAATCCAGCTTTGCATGCTCAAACCCGTGCTGCCTCGTTTGACTGCTAGTAACGCCATGAAGCAATTTCTTTACAAGTACGTCCCAATTATGACAGACATAACAGACATAACCAACATCTGTTGTGAACTCTGCAGTCTCACATACATTTACTTCAACTACGTTCACAGTCTCTTTTCACTGGAAGTAGCGAAGAAGTAGCACATCCTGCAGATCACTCCTCGTTTAGGCAGTGAGTTCCTTTCTGTTTATTGCTATTTGGTACTAGATTTAATGTTAAACCTTTAAATAACTAGACCGCATGCTTGGTGTCGCTCAGAACATATAATATAATTCTTATTTGCACTTTAGAAATTACATTTAGCTACAGTGTTGCAGTGTTACAACAATCTGGGAACTTTGTAGTAAGTGGTAATTTTTCTTTTCTACAGACTGAATTCTGAAATCACCACATTTTACTTACAATTAATGGTTGAAACTAGATTTCAAACTTTGTAGTTCAAAAGGACTAAAATGTAACTCAGACAGTTTGTTGAAGATCTCATCAACTCCATCCATCCATCCATCCATCCATCCATCATCAACCGCTTATCCTGCATACAGGGTCACGGGGGGCTGGAGCCAATCCCAGCTGACATCGGGCGAAAGGTTTTACTGCTACAATAAAAAAAAGATAAATCCAATAATTATTATGATGTTTTGCATTCTGAAGATTAGGATGTTTTTCCTGTTCTGGCTACAGTCAGCTCACAGGTCCTCCTGGTCGTAAAGGTGAAAGAGGATCTCCTGGGCCAACTAGGGTACCTGGGAGAATAGGTGGGCAAAATTGACTACCAAAATCATGGTCCTAGGAACACTCACAACACATTACTGACCACACCCCAGTCCTCTCTTTTCTGAATTCTGGCACCCCCTGTTGTAAAGGCTTTGTCCATCCATCCATCCATCGTCAACCGCTTATCCTGTGTACAGGGTCACGGGGGGCTGGAGCCTATCCCAGCTGACATTGGGCGAAAGGCGGGGTACACCCTGGACAGGTCGCCAGTTGTAAAGGCTTTGTTTTAGTGACAATTCTGCAATCTCTCTCCAAGATATCAACCCTCAACAGACAGCCGAAGTACCCCAAAGGAGGGGGTGAAAGGTTTTTCTCCACTCCCAAGTGCTGCTTGGGTAGTTTCAGCCATAAAACCTACCACCTCCTGTGAAGTTGAGATAACAGACTCTATGCATGACTGTTAAACTGACAATATTAACATTACACAGAGACTAACCTCAACCTGAACTAGGCTGTGAGGACCTCACTGACTATAAAGGTGTCACCCCGACACTTCCCAGAGACTAATTCAGCCGGAACCAGCCTATCAGAACCCTTTTGAAAAAAGGTCAAGAGACGCTAACTTTCCCCACACAGGGTAGCCATGGCAACCGTGCCCCCCTTTGCTAATTATTCCCAAAGATCCCCTTCCTCAGTCTTGACTCTCTACCTCACCAAAGAGCCATTAATTTGGACTCTTAACATGCGCTCTCCCTCTTCACACCCAGTTGTGAAACTGTTGAGAAACCCCAGACGCCAGAGAAGGACAGTACCCCGAATTCCTTTGTGTGGAAAAAGGAATATTGTCTCCTTATAACTTGCCTATTACCTTGTTTAATCAAATAATCTTTGTTAAGTTACTTAGTAATTCTTGCCACTTTAATTTGAGTAGTTCTATTACCATGTTCTTGTTAAGACTGTGTTGAAAAGAAGAATCCATAAAGCAAGTTAATTTGCAGTGTTTTAATCTTCCTCAATACTCACTGATATTCCTTTAATTTATGTTATACTAATGCCATGCTTCAACACCAGTGTCCCCAAAGAGGACAAACTAAGTATTACAGGTCCCTGTTTCTTTAATGCCTCTCCCCCTGTTTTAATGCATCACTCTGTATTTTATTGGGTATAATCTAATGCCATATTCGTGTAACTTGCTTATATTCTCTAAGTAAGAATGTTTAACAGCCAATATTATCCAGGAAATGTTAGTTCCTTCCATCCTGAAAATGTGTTTAACTCGTAACCATTCTAATCATTACAATGATTACTTAATAGTTTCCTTTTTATCAAATGCTGAAAACAGTATAACTGTTAATGGCATTTAAGGTTTGATTGTGGGAAGGTATTTGATTGAAGTACACGCAAATAGACTTTAAAATAGACAATTAAGGGACAGCCTCTCTCAGGAGACCGGAAATAAACCCTCAGGGGAAACACAGCCCCCTCCTGGGACACGCCCTAGGACACATAACACGGCGACACGCGCTTGCTCTCTCTCTTGTTCTCTGGTCTCTTATGGCGGTCTCTTAGCTCTTGTATGGCAAGCCATTAGTGCCAAAAAACGTCACTCTTGTAGCATGTTTTGCCAACAAAACGGCGTTTTGTGTATAAAAACGGCGTTTTGTGTATAAAAACGGCGCGAAAAACGCCGTTTTATTTTGACACGCCGTAAAAAGCCGTAAATTGTAAATTTGTAAAATGATAATGAGCTCCGCCCTGTGGATTTTACAGCCACTAAATTTGAAGTGTTGTCACCCAATCAGTACAGAAGAAGAACAGACCACACAAATTCAGCACTGATCTACTTTACTGTGATCGTAGCCACCTAAAGGCAGAAAGTAACCACAGACAAACATGAAAAACTCAACACAAAAGTCCCAGACTGATCAAGTAAATTGACTACATTTACTAAAAATATTTAGCTACTCTAGGTTATAGCTTGTAACATCTATTGATTGATGATTTTAGATCAAATTTGACATAAATAATTAATTTGCTTTTTATTTATCATCACTGTCAGATTAAAGTATCTCCTAAAATAGAACATACAAACACAAAGAAAGTAAGAAATCACCATAAGTGGAACAACTATCTTTACATGGTCATCAGTGAACAGTTTAAGCCTCATTTGTCTTTTTATGAGCCCTGCAGTCTGTGCAGTATTGATAGCGAGCCTACCCTTGTTTCTACAAAGCTTTGTTTTACCATGTCATCCTAAATCCAGGCCAAAGGCAACCTGACACAAACGTGTGTTTCAGTCGATTCAGGGAAAAAACAGCTTGTCATTTATTCCCTGGCTTTTATTTATTTATCCAAAGCTATCCTTCCGGACTCCTGCGATAATATTTATGTTACCCCAAAACACTACATTATACAAGTTGCTACAAAAACTTATCTTATTCCATATTTATATATTTCCACATTTATTTATGTTGACTGTATGTTTGTCTACATGTAGCACCTTATCACCACAGCAAATTCCTCGTATGTGTAAAACACTACTTGACAATAAAGCTCATTCTGATTCTGAAAAGGCATCTGCAGGCTATTAAGATACTTGGTTTTAAAAAAAAACGCTGCATTTCTTTCCTCCAAAATGGACATATTTGAGACAACGAAGCCTGGGAGGCCAGCCACGTGGGTTAGTTATGCCAGCAGCAGCCCAAAGGACATCAAAACCCACGAACCGAGCCAAGGTTAACAGCCATCACTACAAGTTTCTTCAACTAAGTTACCAACCAAAGTGGCGGACCTGGCTTGCCATATTGGCAGAGAAAGCGACCGGCAGAGGGCGTGTTAAGCCGTCTCAACCGAGAACGCACGCAACTCAGCCAGTGTTAGCCCGGCCGAACATCAACCGGCTGGAGAAACAACAAGCAGCAAGGAACCAACGCATTCTGTGGTTGAGTTGATGTCCAATAGTTTTTAATCCGTTAGTTTAATCCAAGCCAAATTTAAGTTATTACCATAAATTGCATTTATTGGTTCTCTTCTCTCTCCCTCCTTAGACTCAAATCTTTTCCACAATAGACCACTAAATCCACATTTAACTCCCATCATTTTCATTGATTGCATCCTGTTTGCTTAATCATTATTGTTGTATGTCTTTAAACCCACTTTATATCCACCTTTAGTTAGTTAATAAATTTCACCGAAATCACAGGAACTGTGTGTGTATTGTTTGACTCCAACTAACTGTAACGGAGGATTTATGCCTTCGATTTGAGATTGACTGATCACTAGGAAATAATTGTATAATTATTAAGATATACTTAAAGGTTCCTAAAGCCTTGGGCAGACAGCAAATCTTTAGGTGGTGCCCTTAATGAGGATTTATGAATTAATATTAATATTCATAATTTGTATTATCAGTAAAGAAGGTATGCTACATAGGCAAGACTTCACAATTCTGATTTGACCATGTAAATTCTTAGTCGGGACACCCATAATTATGTCTCTTTCTCTGACTGATTCAGAGGACGACTTGGAGCGAGGAGTAGCTCTGGACCTCGGGGATGTGATGGAAGCTGTGGAGGTTATATATATTCTATATTTTATAAAGCAGTATTTAATTTTGCATCATTAGTATCAATGGGCTGCCAATGATTTTTGCACACTGTGCAAGCATGATAACACAGCTAGCTCCCTCTCCTCATTCTCTAAAAAACATCTACTTGTT